GGGTGGAGGAGATTGGTGTAAGTTGGTTAGACACCCTGGCTACTGCCAACTGAGAGATCTTAAAAGCAGGTGGGCTAGCGATCACGTAGCTGATTGCCTCCTCAAGCAGCCCAATCATCCCGCCGGGGCCATGGACCAAGGGCCCCCCTTTCTTTCAAAATCACCATGAATCAAAGCGACTTATGGGGGAAGGGGTGGTTTTGGGGCGGGGGTCGGCCCGGCCTGCAGCGCCTCTTCCTGGGCTCGGAGTTTCTGGAGCCGCCGCTGGGAGCGCTGCACTTTGGCGCGCAGGAAGCCCACCGTGGCGTGCAGCTGGCCCCGAGATGACACCTCCCGAGTGAAAGTGGATGCAAAGGGAGATCCGCACTGATAACCCGGATAAACAAACATAAAAACCACAGGCTGCCTCTTGTGTCGCTGGGAGGGAGTTGCAAGGGGGGATGAGGAGGTAAAGCCTGGCAAAAAAAACAACTTGAACTTGCATCCAACCAGGATAACGGGAGGACTCCTATGTCACCTCAATGCCGACGCTATACGCTGCTATACAAACAGGCTGCCGCTTTGGTTCATATTGCGGCATTGGCACCGTTTCCCTTTGCAATTCCCAATTGTGACCCGAATTCTCCCTGCCTGAAGTCTACTTTGGATCTTCTGATTGATGGCGTCCTTTCCTGCTTGACCGAAGAACTCGTCGAGGTCCTTCTCCAGCACGCGGTGCACAATGCTGTGGCGCCAGGCTTGCAGGATCAGGTGGGCGGCACGGCGCTTCCGGAAATCGTCCAGCCTCTGTTGCTCCGCTCTTTGGCGGCCGCGATGCCCGCGCCACAGCCGCTGGGCGGCCACGGCGCTCGCCACGCGTCGCTTGATGTGAACGGTCAGCATCCTCCGGCACCAGAATCGCTGCAGACGCCTTGCCGCGGCTTTTTGCCGCAGCAGCCGGCGCCGCAAACTGCGTGCCTTGGCCCAGGCCTGGACGAAAGCCACGGCACGGCGCTGGCGCTCCGCCGCGGTGCGCGCCACTTGGCCGCGGCGCCAGCTCTGCAGCACGCGGGCGGCCCGGTTTCGCCGCAGCTCCGCGACGCGGCGCCGCGCCAGGCGCACCCGGGCAGCGCACTGCAGGCGGAGCACCGCGCGGCGCAGCGCCACGAAGCGCCGGCGCTGCAGCCGGCCCCGGGCGAAGGCCTCGAGCTGAACCGCCGCCAGGCGCCGGCACTTGGACAGCGCGTGGCTCAACGCCTCCACGGCCTCGCGCTTCAGAAACACCAAAGTCTTCCCCACCGCCCAGGTGCCTTTGGCACACACCGCAGCGCCACTTGTCGCCGCCACGGATGCCCGGCGCGGCGTGCGCGGGGTCTGCGGGGCAATTGGGGTCTTTGGGGTGCGTGGTGTGCGGGGACTCATTGGGGAGCTTGGCTCCGTCAGGCCCTCGAAGAGCAGCTTGGCCGCCGCAGCCAGCTGGCCCCGCGCAGCCTGCGCTTCCACGGCACGGTCGGCCGTGAGGCACTTGAACTCCATGACCGCCTCGGGCGGCACGAAGCTTTTTCAGTGGTAATCCATAACAACTCCCGAGCAGGTGGATTTCTTCTCTGGCTTGGGCGTTCGCAAACAAGAAGGTTGCCACATACGACAGACCCTTTTGTGGGCATGGCTCCTTCAATAACCTTCCAATAGTCGTCTGAACTTCCCAATAAAAAGGAGACAATGGGGACAGTTCAAGGCCCGTTTCCATGTTTCGCTTGGATTTGAGAGGGTGAAACATTCTCATGAAGGTTTCCCGTCAAAAGGTGCAGGGCGGTGCGTCCCCAAAATGCATTGGACTTTTTGTTGAAACCAGCCTACAAAGGTTTTACAGCTCCCGATGTACTACCTACTGAGCCAGAAGGAAACGAACCCTTTTCCTACAGTGTGCTGAAAGTGGAGCCCAGTACACTATTGGCTGGGCGAGTCTTGCCACAAAGGAAGAACAACACACGGAGCTTTTACTTCGCTAAGTGGGTGCCTGCAAAGGTCAAATGTTGTCTTTGCCACTAGAATTTTCCTCCGACAAAGTATCAAGTCCAGGAGCCCGGGACTTTATCATCTCAGTACCTAAAAAAAAGGCCAGCTGTTCATTTTTGCTTTGCAGGTTCGGCCAAACCGACTCTCAGTGTCGGGTACCTCCCCAGCCCCCGACCGGTTGCACTGCCCGACGCCGCCCGACTCTCGGCCTGGCGGTGCTTGAGGCGCACCGGGAAGCCCACGCGGCTCACCTCGATGGCCTGCAGCACGCCCTGGTACTGCAGCTGCTGCACCACGCCCCTGAGGACACAGATGGACTCGGATGGCATCCATGGGATCCAACCAAGAAACAGGAAGTTGCACACCCTCCTAAATGGGATTGGTGCACGCCCACAGCAGCTTTTCTACTTGTATGAAGTCCTCAAACAAATCCACACACTAGCCTTGTGTTTTTCTGGGGGTACCTTTTTGCAGACCACTTGAGGGCAAGTCGAAAGGAAAACAATCATGTTGGGCTGTGTATCCTACCCCAGATCCCCCTTCGCCTGGCTTTTCGAAATGAGGCGTTAAGGGTCGTGTTTTGGGAACGAGGGAGTTCGGATCCGAGTCCTACGAAGCCCTCTTCGCTACGATCTCCAGCCACGAACTATCTGGTCTCAACAGGCTTGAACCTTTCTCTTCTAGCCTGTTCTCGGTTTCCTTTGCGGTCCACGCATTCGGGGTGGAGGGATCTTCGCAACTGCTGATCTTTAGCCTCTTGCACCAAAGCTCCCAAAACCTTCCACTCGTCCCATGTCAAGCCAGCATTGATGAATGTTGACTTGTGCGGGATGTCCCTTGAGGATAGTCTTGGGGGAGACATCTCCCAGTGAGGTCTGGTGAATCCGAAGTCTATCGGTAAGGCACTATTCAGGTCTCAACCTGGGCGAATTTTCGGAGATCTACCAAGCTCTTCCCAGCCACAGGTGCTTCGTCTTTCGAACGGCGCGTAGACTGAATGAGTGGCTTACAGTTGAAACACGCTCCAAAGAAGGCAGCCATATCCAAATGTGTGGTTAGATCTTCGGGCTATGGACATTCCAAACAGATTCATTACCCTTCTTCTCTGATTCCTAAAGTCCTTGACTATCCTCAATAAAAAAAGCCCCCAAGCCGCGCAAGATCGGTGCCCTTCGAAGATTGCCAGGTTCTGAAGTTGTTTTTTCGAGCTTCCCACTCGTTTCAACTTTCCTTTTCAAAACCAAACTTCCCAAAGTAAGGATTTCCATTCGCCCAGAAAGGTTCTCGCTTCGGTTCTATCGGTTGGGTTCAGAACCGTCGCCTCCGCTCGAAGATCCCGGCAGAGCTCTGCGCGTTGGGCTTGATGCAGCGCACGAAGTGGGGCTCTGTGGCCCGGATGCGCTCCATGAGGTTCCTGAGGGAAGGGGCCCAAGTGGCGATTTTTTTTCTTGGGCTCCAGGAGAAAAATCATCTTTTTTGATCCGAAATCTTTGTCCTAGGGTCCAAACAATCTTTTACATGTTTTTGACATCTTTGTCCCAGGGTTCAAACATTCCTTTACATGCTGAAATGTCTAGCCTCTAGGATTTCTGCCATCTGATGCTCAGGATTCTTTTATTGCCTTAGGGGCTGCATGGGCTTGCCCTTCCCTGAGAAAGCCATCCGAAGGGCTTTTACCTCTTGCTTCATGGGGCCACAGCAGTGGGTGGTTGCCACAGCATGGCATGAGGTTTGTGGGGTAGGGTATCTTGAACACCCCCCACCAAGAAGTTTTCGGTTGGGCATCCTTCAAAACCCCCAGCTGGGTGCTTTTTCGAGGCTACGTTTTTTTGGCGCGGTTCTGTCGGCAACCAACGATATTTTTGGGGCTCGCACACCCAAACCGGACTCCTTTTGTTTGTGGATAGCTTTTCAACCGTGGCCGGGGCAAGAACAGGGCACTCGTTTTAGGGTCAATTGCAAAGGGTTTCACTCTAAAGCAGGGTAAAACAGGGAACAAGGAAGCAAGCCACTGGTTTCACCCAACCGGAACGTTCTGGGCACAGCTCTGGGGGAATTTGTTAAGGTCAGTTTTAAGGAGACCACTCCAAAACAGGCAAACCAAAGAGGTAAAACAGGGAAGAGGGAAGTCACACCACAGGTTTCGTGTTTTTTTGCCCGGTGAAGCCCCGAAGGCATCGAGTCAGAGGCGCTGGAGCTGTCCCTGGAACTCCGAGGCCACGGTGTAGCGCTTGGCGCGGGTGCGGCGCGTGGCGCCCTGGGCGGTGGTCTCGGCGGTGGTGCCGAAGGAGCGGTCGGCGGCGCTCACCAACTGCTGGACGAAGGGCTTGGAGCTGGCCTGGCGAGGGGCTTCGAGCTGTTGGTTTGGCTCGGGTATTCTTCAATGGGTTCGTCTCCGGTTTCTGGTTTGCGGGGGTTCCCTCCAAAAACAGCCAGGAAAGGAAGATGCAGTTGCATCTTCTGGAAGCAACTCAAAACGGGAGAGAAAACTCATCGATGGGAAAAAAATCAAACGTCAGCTTCAAGCGGAGGGCGGCCACTTCTTGGAATTTGCGGGACAGGGAAACTGAGGGATTACCCCCTCTACTCCACCAAGTTGATTCAGATGCCCATAAAAGCCCGAATGGAACCGACCCGTCCACTAACGTGGAACTTGACTTTTTGGGGTCCAAGACTTTGTCTCTAGAAACCATTTCTCCGGTGGGTTCCACAGGGCCCGCGTCCCCAAGTTCGAGCTTGGCCCTGTCGAAGCGACCTTGAGGCACTTCACCAGGTCTGCGCCCAGGGCATCGCGGTTCTTCTCCACGAAGCTCTTGGACATGTACTCCACCGGTCCTCCGGGGGTCCCCGGTTGAAGGACAACACATAGGGGACAAGTTGCTTGGAGCCAGAGTGGGTTGCTTGGATGTTCAATCTTAGGGTATGAACATGAACTCCGGCAACTCGTGCCCACTTATGACCGTGATTGTGACCTAGGAACTAAGTGGATTCAAGCACCAAGCGAAAAGGAAAGGTTCGGAGGACCCCTTCTACGAGCTAGAAGGGGTTCTTAGACGAGTTCCACTAACCTTTTTAGGAGGTACGGCAGTCTCAATGTCTCCCGATTTTGGGGCAAGTGACTGAAGATTCTTGTCGAAACCCACATGCCGACCTGAACTGAACTTGTGCATTTGACCTGAATAACAAACGGCGAATAGGACTGGATTTCTATGCACTGCAGCCTTCCAGCTTGGCTCACGTCACGTTGCCTCGACTCTGCTGGTGTTTGCAAACAAAACGCCAGGCCGGGAAAACGATTTGGCCCCAACAAGTGACAAGATACAACACCCACATCTGCAACCCCAACTTTGCCTTCAGTTCATGCAAATCCTCGATCTTTGTCTTTTGGGCAGATTGGGCTTGGGTTTGGCCAAGTCCAAGGTTGACTGTCTCTCTCCTGCGAAGTGGCGGACGATGAAGTTGTGCTGGTTCCTGGGCTGGTCTTTGAGCAATGCAGTTTTCACCCAGTTTTTGGTGCAATCCGGCAGCAACTTTTTCACATTGCCAGTCAGCGGGTTTACACGATGGTCTTCCAAACGGCCCAAAGATCATCCTTCGTCATTTGAGGTCCATTCAATGACCTCCCAGGCAAGCTAAGAGATGGATGACTCGCGGAGGTTCGAGCCATGTCCCAACCCCGTAGACTAGGGCTGTTTGGAATAGATCTCATGTTCTAACTGAGAGACCGCACGTAAGGAGCGGAAAACAAGGGACATTTGCGGAGCGGAAAAGTGCACACGCAGTGCGCGGAAAAGAACGCGCGATCCGCGCGGAAAAGCAATCCGGCTATTTTCCCTTTGCTGGGCCCGCGTCAACACCCGCGACGCGGCATGGCAGCATCACTTGCGCGCGCGGTCTAAGGGGGTAAGCTTCAGTACTGCTGGCACAAGCCGTGACGGCTCAAATCCCGGAGGCGTTAATCCCGAGCAGGTTGTTAGGTCCCGAAAACACCGTTTGCTCCGTGTTTAAACAGCGGGCGATGCTGGAAACAGGTTGCAGTATCAATGAATTGGTCAGTAGGACATGTTCAGTACAACCGGCAGGAGCCACACAGCTCAATCCATTTGGTGAGACAACACGATTGTCATGAAAGACGAGACGTTTGGAAGACTACCGGAAACGGACGTGGTTTTGAGGCTATTAACCCGCTAAGTACGTCCGAAACCGCGTCCGTTTCACGAAGGCTGCGGTCGGGAAGACTACCGGCAGACTACGGGAGACTGACGGGCAGACTGCCGGAAGACCACCGCAAGACTGCGGGAAGACGAGACTTTTGGAAGACTATCGGCAGACTACCGGAAGACCACCGGAAGACTACCGGAAGACTACGGGAGACTTCGGGAAGACTACCGCAGACTACCGGAAGACCACCGCAAGACTATGGGAAGACGAGACTTTTGGAAGACTACCGGAAACGGACGTGGTTTTGAGGCTATTAACCCGCTAAGTACGTCCGACCGGCAGACTACGGGAGACTGACGGGCAGACTACCGGAAGACCACCGCAAGACTACGGGAAGATGAGACTTTCGGAAGGCTATCGGCAGACTACCGGAAGACCGCCGGAAGACTACCGGAAGACTACGGGAGACTTCGGGAAGACTACCGCAGACTACCGGAAGACCACCGCAAGACTATGGGAAGACGAGACTTTTGGAAGACTACCGGAAACGGACGTGGTTTTGAGGCTATTAACCCGCTAAGTACGTCCGAAACCGCGTCCATTTCACGAAGACTGACGGGCAGACTACCGGAAGACCACCGCGAGACTACGGGAAGACGAGACTTTTGGAAGACTATCGGCAGACTACCGGAAGACCACCGGAAGACTACCGGAAGACTACGGGAGACTTCGGGAAGACTACCGCAGACTACCGGAAGACCACCGCAAGACTATGGGAAGACGAGACTTTTGGAAGCCTACCGGAAAAGGACGTGGTTTTGAGGCTATTAACCCGCTAAGTACGTCCGAAACCGCCACCGGAAGACTACCGGAAGACTACGGGAGACTTCGGGAAGACTACCACAGACTACCGGAAGACCGCCGCAAGACTATGGGAAGACGAGACTTTTGGAAGACTACCGGAAACGGACGTGGTTTTGTGGCTATTAACTCGCTAAGTACGTCCGAAACCGCGTCTTCCAGTAGTCTTCCGGTAGTCTGCGGTAGTCTTCCCGAAGTCTCCGGTAGTCTTCCGGTAGTCTTCCGGTGGTCTTCCGGTAGTCTGCCGATAGTCTTCCAAAAGTCTCGTCTTCCCGTAGTCTTGCGGTGGTCTTCCGGTTGTCTGCCCGTCAGTCTCCCGTAGTCTGCCGGTAGTCTTCCCGACCGCAGCCTTCGTGAAACGGACGCGGTTTCGGACGTACTTAGCGGGTTAATAGCCTCAAAACCACGTCCGTTTCCGGTAGTTTTCCAAAAGTCTCGTCTTCCCATAGTCTTGCGGTGGTCTTCCGGTAGTCTGCGGTAGTCTTCCCGAAGTCTCCCGTAGTCTTCCGGTAGTCTTCCGGTGGTCTTCCAAAAGTCTCGTCTTTCCGTAGTCTTGCGGTGGTCTTCCGGTAGTCTGCCCGTCAGTCTCCCGTAGTCTGCCGGTAGTCTCGTGAAACGGACGCGGTTTCGGACGTACTTAGCGGGTTAATAGCCTCAAAACCACGTCCGTTTCCGGTAGTCTTCCAAAAGTCTCGTCTTCCCATTCTTGCGGTGGTCTTCCGGTAGTCTGCGGTAGTCTTCCCGAAGTCTCCCGTAGTTTCCGGTAGTCTTCCGGTAGTCTGCCGATAGTCTTCCAAAAGTCTCGTCTTCCCGTAGTCTTGCGGTGGTCTTCCGGTAGTCTGCCCGTCAGTCTCCCGTGGTCTGCCGGTAGTCTTCCCGACCGCAGCCTTCGTGAAACGGACGCGGTTTCGGACGTACTTAGCGGGTTAATAGCCTCAAAACCACGTCCGTTTCCGGTAGTCTTCCAAAAGTTTCGGTCTTGCGGTGGTCTTCCGGTAGTCTGCGGTAGTCTTCCCGAAGTCTCCCGTAGTCTTCCGGTAGTCTTCCGGCGGTCTTCCGGTAGTCTGCCGATAGTCTTCCAAAAGTCTCGTCTTCCCGTAGTCTTGCGGTGGTCTTCCGGTAGTCTGCCCGTCAGTCTCCCGTAGTCTGCCGGTAGTCTTCCCGACCGCAGCCTTTGTGAAACGGACGCGGTTTCGGACGTACTTAGCGGGTTAATAGCCTCAAAACCACGTCGTTTCCGGTAGTCTTCCAAAAGCCTCGTCTTCCCATAGTCTTGCGGTGGTCTTCCGGTAGTCTGCGGTAGTCTTCCCGAAGTCTCCCGTAGTCTTCCGGTAGTCTTCCGGCGGTCTTCCGGGAGTCTGCCGATAGTCTTCCAAAAGTCTCGTATTCCCGTAGTCTTGCGGTGGTCTTCCGGTAGTCTGCCCGTCAGTCTCCCGTAGTCTGCCGGTAGTCTTCCCGACCGCAGCCTTCGTGAAACGGACGCGGTTTCGGACGTACTTAGCGGGTTAATAGCCTCAAAACCACGTCCGTTTCCGGTAGTCTTCCAAAAGTCTCGTCTTCCCATAGTCTTGCGGTGGTCTTCCGGTAGTTGCGGTAGTCTTCCCGAAGTCTCCCGTAGTCTTCCGGTAGTCTTCCGGTGGTCTTCCGGGAGTCTGCCGATAGTCTTCCAAAAGTCTCGTCTTCCCGTAGTCTTGCGGTGGTCTTTTCCGGTAGTTTGCCCGTCAGTCTCCCGTAATCTGCCGGTAGTCTTCCCGACCGCAGCCTTCTGAAACGGACGCGGTTTCGGACGTACTTAGCGGGTTAATAGCCTCAAAACCACGTCCGTTTCCGGTAGTCTTCCAAAAGTCTCGTCTTCCCATAGTCTTGCGGTGGTCTTCCGGTAGTCTGCGGTAGTCTTCCCGAAGTCTCCCGTAGTCTTCCGGTAGTCTTCCGGTGGTCTTCCGGGAGTCTGCCGATAGTCTTCCAAAAGTCTCGTCTTCCCGTAGTCTTGCGATGGTCTTCCGGTAGTCTGCCCGTCAGTCTCCCGTAGTCTGCCGGTAGTCTTCCCGACCGCAGCCTTCGTGAAACGGACGCGGTTTCGGACGTACTTAGCGGATTAATAGCCTCAAAACCACGTCCGTTTCCGGTAGTCTTCCAAAAGTCTCGTCTTCCCATAGTCTTGCGGTGGTCTTCCGGTAGTCTGCGGTAGTCTTCCCGAAGTCTCCCGTAGTCTTCCGGTAGTCTTCCCACAGTCTTCTGCTAGTCTTCCGACAGTCTCCCGCAGTCTTCCCGTCGTCTTCTGCTAGTCTTCCCTCCAAAAAACAAAAAAGGGGCACCCGTTTCGGATCTCTTAATTTCCGCATAGTACGAACATTATTTATGTTCATTGTGAATTCCTTTCTGCTCAAAACGGTTTTTTTCTGTTCATAACCACAACCCTGGTGGGGAGAACATAACCTCGGACACCACTGGTCAAACATCTCCCCCGTTCTTTTAAGCATGGCTCGAATCGAGTGGCCCGATCCACCAGCTGCATCAGTCGAAACAAAAAGGGACTTGGGATGGTTGGGAAAGCAACAGGGGAATCCGGGCCAAATGAACCAACATTAAAGTCTAAAGATCAGCTTTCGTGAGTTTCCAACCAAATTCTAGAGACTTATTGGGGGACAAATAACCAACATAAAAAAACAGATTAACCGAATTATCCATTCATCGATGTGCAACAAATGATGATTATATTCTTGATTTACCTATTCATGAAGCAACACCTGGCCCGCAGCTGGGGGTAGACACAAACAAAAGACGATTCTGTTTCATACTTAGCCAATCCTAAAATCGAAGAGACCAACAAATGACGACGAGTGACAGCAAAAAGAGTGAGAGAAGAGCGTTGAACTAGTCCATTCCTAATCCCTAAAGAGAACCTCCAATATTGACAAATGGCCATGGGTCAAAATCCCGTACCCCCAGTGAACATCCCAATCCCCACGAAAATAGACTAAAATGGGTGGTGCATCTACCCACAAATGGTACCATTGGTTTTGACCCACAGCCAAATGCAAAAAAACAACGTATGACAATCGGGGAGGAGACCCCAACCGACGAAAACGGGGGGGGGGGCCTCAAATTCGCTGAGCTTCAGCTTCACCACCCCGAAGTGGCCATGAGAGCCATGGGCTTTGCAAAGCTTGGAGCACCACTTCTCCGAGCTCCCGCCCGTGGTGATGCACTCCTAAACCGCAAAACCAAAAGCCACGTGATGTTTTTTTGGCAGGTCCTTGACTTTGATGTGTGCCACCAGGCTTTTTGAGTCGGTTGATGCTGTTGTGGTGTTTTGGAAGTTGATCTTGTGCTTGATCGTTCTTGACTTGTTTTGATGGTTTGCTGATTTGTGGCAGTTAATTCTGCTGCTTGTCTTCCACAGGCTGGCTCCCGTTGAGAAAGGGGCGCGCATCAGCTTGGAACAAACATCCCCTACAAATGGACATGGAAGTGAAGACCAGATTTCAAGGAGCCACACACATGGCCAATGAGGTGATGCTAACAAAACACCAAGGAAAACCAAAGGACCCCTATCACCCCATCACCCGCTGACCCGGGCGAGTTTTTCGTTTTTCTTTTCGGCTCCTCGTCCAGCATGGGCAGGATGCCCATGGGGGCCTTACCCACGAGGTCCACGATGGCGTGGTTGTCCGGGAAGTCCAGCGGGTCCCACTGGATGCCTTCCCTCCTCGGGGAAACTGGGAGGTGTGACGTCGACTTCACGCGGTCACCCTGTGAACCACATCTCCGGCGTGCAGCCATTACTTTTGCGACAAAAACAAATAAGGCGGCTACAAGGTATTTCATGAACATTTCTATGGCAGCTTCCCATGGGTATTCCTCCAGCATCTAGACTGACCTTATTGTTGTCTGATTAAACAAAAACACAAATGTTTCATATCACAGGCGCATTCTCAACACACTAGTTTGATGCCAAGTATCTTGTTTTGCCGAAAGGTTCGAGTGTTCTAATGCAAAGAACCTCGAGCCTTCGAGCCTTCGAATACAAACACTACAAACCCCATACCCCAAGTTCCCTGGAAGTCCCAATGGGATCCATACCATTCTATTCCGATGTTGACATTTTTTGCACGGCCCAAGTGCCCAACACTTTGACATTGCCTAAAAACACAACGACACCAAACTATAGACCTCATGCCCTCAAATCTTGAGCAGAGTTTTCGGGGCATTAGCTCTGCAAACATACATCCTAGATACAAATTCTAAATGGACAAAAACTGGTAGACATGGAGGCTTTTCACGAAATATCTTCCTTGTAATGGGGGTAAAAGATGTATCTCAGATCTACCTCCAACCAACATGGGTGAGAAGGACGCAGTTGCCTTTTGGAACACTGTCTTGGAAAAGAAGCAACTATATGTCGCTTCCTGCGAGACATGGATGCAAACACACTTTATTGACACCTTCAGGTCAAATGGACTCTTGGACACCACAAGCAACGGGTTTGTGTGGTTGGGCCTTTGGGTTCGGCTTGACAGGATCACAAGTGAGGGCGATGAGTGAGGTCGCAAAGCAAAATTTTGGTGAGATCGCCATGGTCCCCGGAAAAGGTCACCCACAGAAGTGTTTGACAACTAAGCATGCAACCACTTTGTCCCACTGCCCAGAAGCCCTGGCAGAAAAAAAAGGCCCTTCTTAGGGTTGACGTTTCTTAGTGCGTCCCGAAAACACTAAACCAAAAGGGACTTAGACGTCGCTGCTCAATTGGGTGAAAAGAAACGGACACCACCTATATGAATCCACCAGGTTGATAAACCTGCAACTTTTGCAGTCATTTCAATCTTGAAATAAGTCCAAGTAAAGGACCCACATGATGGCCTTTTGTCGATTTCCCACCCGGAAGGGTGAGCTCGCCATCTTTCGCTGGCTCCTGTACAGCTCCGCCTCATGCTCGAAGATCACCTCGTTAAAGTACTGCTGAAGCAACTCGTTGGTGAAGTTGATGAACAGCTGCCTCACGAAGCAGCTACAACCATAGGTGTCCTTTTAAGGGAAATAGATGGGTTTCCCTGGTAGATGATTCAACCACCAGGTAAATCGGGGCCATCTATTTTCTACCAACACAACCAGACAGGACACCTATGGCTACAACAGCTGGCTCAGGGCACAATTACCCATTTTGGTTTAACTCGGCCCGGTCTTTCAGGAGATTGCCATCTAGTTTTACAGATCTTGGCTGAGAGATTTCAAGCACGGTGTCCTGGCCCAAGCATGGTCCAGCCCATGATTCTCTCACCTGCAGGTCAAATTTGGTTGAATGCAACCCCCCACATTTTAACTGAGCCCTCCCCAAAAAAACACCCAGCCATAGGAATGTTGCGTTTCGGGAAACAAGTGGGGGGGAGTGTTTCCATCAGTTGTCCGTGGGTGAGATTCTGCAAGTGCTCCCTTTCCTGCATGTGTCGTCGAACTTGGGTTGTTTCAGACGAATTACTCTTCATCTCAGGCTGGTCTTCTGATTGGGCCGCCCTTCAAGGAGGGTCCCAAAGGGAATGACCATTCTTGTCAATCCAATCTTTCGCTTCCTTGTCACAACTTGGCCAGACTCAGATCCTCTAAAAGTTGGACAGCAAAAGGTATCTGGAAACGTGGAGCCACCCAAGAACAAGGATTTGCCCGTGCAAAACTGGCAGAAACTCCGCGATATGCAGAAACGAACAACCTTTTTCACGAGGGACATAAACAACAAACAAACAAGACAGGGCAATCACCAACAACAGCAAACAAGCTGTCCAAAACAAGGAGCAACAAACAAGCGACCAAGACAGATCCAAACAACCCCAAAAACAACCAAAAACAACCAAACACAACCCTTTTCCAGTCGGGTGGCTCAAGGGAGTTCTGCTCAAAGAACTCGAAGCCGAAGATGTCCAACACGCCCACCTCAGGATCCAACAAACCGTGCGCCTCGGGAAGTCGCGGGTTGATTTGACCAAAAAGGAACACTTCAGATTTTGGTGTGAAGTCAGTCGGGGACTGAGGGGCAAACCAATCGTGACATGGCCTCCAAGACCCCAACCCTCCCTCATGAAATATGCAAGCTCCCAGGACCTGTTGGGAGGGACGTTCCTTTTCCAAGGGATTCCAAGGTAGCCGTGGCTTCCATGATAGCCTGAGGGAGGGTACGGAGAATCTACCGGGTGACGTGTGCCGACCCAAAGCCACATCTCCCCTTGTGCCAAAGCTGCAAAGGGCAGCAGCTTGCTCTTAGCCTTGCTCCAGGCAGCGCCCCCTGTCTCCTAGGCGCAACAGATTGGACCTTTTCCGGCAAAGACCCTTAGGTATTTGATATTGAATATTTGGTCAACCTTCAAATCTAACTTTTTTGTCCCAAAAAACCGCAGGTGCCTGGGTTTCCAACCAAAAAAGCGGAGCCTGAAGTCCGCGTGAGTTTGGGCCAACTGGCGGCGAGAGGCGCTCACAGTGGCGTTGATGCGCGCCACCACGAAGGTGAAGAGGGCATCATACAAATGTCGCGCCTGAGATAAGGTGTTTTCTCAAATCTCGGAACCTGAACCAACCGGAAACCGGTTGTTTCCTTTTGACTTTGTTGGGGAAGCCATCCAAACAGGGGTGCCTTTGAGAAACTTCCAACTGGGGACTTCCCTTCAGAGAAAACCGCTGGAGGGAAACACCTAGTTACGAGCTTCATCATGGGTGAGCTCATTTCCCCGACATTTGCTTGGCTGGCCAACCACCAGGAGCAACTACAAACTACATATTTGAACATGAACTACGCACCGAATGCCTACGGAACATGCAAACAACATGAGGCCAAACTTGGACCGCTTCCACAAAGCCAACTTTTCGCCTGGCGAGCAAAATATTTACATATTTTTCAACCCCTTTTGTTTCCGGGGGGAACACAAAACAAAAACGGAACCCGGTTCCAAGACCCGAGGCACCAAAGAGTCCCGGCTGTCTGCGGCCTTCTCCACAGTGTTGGGCATCGTTATGACACCCTCACCTCGACAGGTGCTTGTGTTTTTTACTGGGGACGGATAGCAAACCCTGGTAACCCAGTTTACAAAACATGAGCCAGGTGTCAATGGGCAAATGGCCTGTCATCAGGGTTGGCCACTTGAGCAACTTGAGCAACTTGCCCCGTACCTCCCTTTCTGTCTCCTTGACACACCCCTGGAAGACCGAACACGTTTCTGTGGTCGCAGTACTCTGTCCAGGTCCAGAAAAACACATCTCCGCCCGCTTCCCCAAGCAACCGGGGAAAGCTTTTGTGAGGAGGGGTATCGCCTTTCGACTGTGAAGTAGTCTTCCTAGGATTAAGGACCCAATTTAGACGACAATTCTGAGCTAAACAACGGTCATATTTGGAGCCCTATTGTTATGGTAAGTGAATCTTGGGGAACCAGCTCCCAACTCTTTGGCAACCGCACCTGGGGCCTGCATGGTCCGCGTGCAGAAGGCGGCCTCCAGCTTTTGCGGGTCCAAGCCGAGCGCGTTGCACAGCGGCGCACACCTCGGCAAGCCCCGTTTGCCCAAAAGGTCTTCAGGCTGAATTGGGGTGTCAAAGGAGGGGACCCCAAAATGGGTACTGAGCCTCCAAAAGCGCACACACACAAACACACATTTGGAAGCCAAAGAAGTGGAAGGATGTGGTCGAGCCGAGCGACAGCTCGGCCGCCGACGCCTCCGAGTTGGTCTTCGGGACCTCGAAGGTCACGTTGCCTCTCGCGGCGGAGGCTGTGAAGCCACAGGCGGCGTTATGTTGAAGGCTTCCCAGCCAAGAAATTTGGGATCTCTTGTTTCCGCGAACGGCTTCCCAAAGGCCTTATGAAAGGCTCACGAAAGGGAGGTTTCCTCCAAGATCTGCAACGTTGAGCCGACGGGGCATGGGTGAAAGGAACGTCGGAGAGGCGAACTTGCTTCGGCCAAGCTGATCGCGTCGATGGGCCCAAGCGAAGCGACTCCGAAAGTGGCTCTGAGGTTGGCAAGCCCAATCGGTTGCATCGGCTGACAAGTCAGGCGTTGATTGGTGCGATCGAACCGGAGCTACAAATGGAGTAGCCCTTGCGAATCCCTTGACTGAGTCTCATTGGACACCGCATCCAGCCGGGTGGCATTTGCTTTCACCTTTCAGAGAATTGGCTGATGTTGTTTCCCGGCCACGGGACTGGGTTTCGAAAGCACCGCTCAGGGTGAAAACATCCACGTCTTTCCCAAAGGATTCGCCCGTCAGCCCAGTTCAATGACCCTGGCTTTTCAACCGCAAGCCCTTTTTAGGCTAGACTCCATGTCTTTTGGGGCAAGCCACGGAATTTGGACTTGGGTGCTCTTGACCCCGCTGCAAAAAAAGAATTACTTTTGTGGGTCCAATTCAGCAAATCCGAGCTGTGCCCAACAAACAAGTTCAAGTCCAAAGATCCGTAACCACAGAGTCATAAAGTAGAGGCCACTGGCGGTCTTCCGTTTTGTTTGGGCTTTTTCAGCCTAGGTGGAGCACCGCCAGCAGCGTCTGCAGGATCCCCGGCAAGTGCTCCTACGTCCGGGACCCCGCGCCTTGACCCTAGGCAACTCGTGTTTTCAGCTGTGGCTGTTTTGAAGGGTGGAGACAATGCCCCGAATTTCAGATGTTTTCAGATGTTTTCAGATGTTTTCAGATGAAGCTACGGTGGATGCCCCGAACTTTGCAAGAAGAAGCTACTATGGTTTCGTGGTAAGGAGTCTGGTGGGTGTATTCGTATGGCAGGGGCATCCACCGTAGCCCCCTTTTTGGCCGGTGAGGGAGCAAACCTGTTTTAAGCCATGGCTCCGATTCGTACAGACGAGCCATCTGTCAGCTTCCCCTTAGTTGGTGGCTTGGATTGGTGGTTTGGCAAAGGGGTGGTTTCTCAGCTGCCCTCTACGAGAACTAGGGGGGACAAATCCAAATCCAAACCATCAATCCAAACCGCCAACTAAGGGAGACCTGAATCTAACCCATATGGGTGTGTCTTTTACCAAGGGAGCCCCCCCCCATATTAGTCATATTAGTGTTTTTTTTTGGGCTGCCCTTTTGACACCAACCAAAAAGGATGCCTCCTCTAAAAACAACAACAACACATGCGAGCCACCCATCCAGGCCCCCCCCCCCCCGCCCCCTCCACGCCCTTTGAATGGATCTCCTCCAGCCCGAAGTGGCGCATGCCCTTCACCGTGGCGTCGAAGAGCTGGGCCTCGTCCACGTCCTCGTCCAAGGTCCAGCACTTGGAGCCGCGGAGGTATCTGAAGCTCTCCACCTGAACGGGACAAAAATAATTCCGAAAATGCCTCTTCAAAAAAAACACGGGGGTTCTTCAGGTTTTGTTTCTGTGTTTGTAATCTGGCTATGAACTTGTTGAGAGTTGGAACCGCCAAGTTGTCGTCTCTTTTTCTTCGTCTCGTTTTTTTTGGCTACTTGGAAGAGTTGGAAGCACCTGTTCAAAGTGGTTGCACACGAAGCCCCACCGGATTTGGATGTCCATCAGAGGGTCCTCCGATGAAGCCGCATGCCCTATCTTTTGTTTTGTCTGTTTGGGTGGTGGGTGGGTGCTGGTGTCCACCTGGTCCGGTCCAAACAGGAAAAGACATCCTTCTGCTTGAGAGGTGGGCTCGGTGGGCTGGGGAAGATCTCGTGATTGAAGGAAACCGTCGGAAATGCAGACGTCTTGTCTGTGCTTGAAGCAGGCTAAACCCCCCCAGAGACGATTTTTTTGCTTGGAAGCAACTTGGTTTTGAGCGTGTTTGTTCTAACCGTGCTGCTTTTGGCTGGTTGGTGTTTAAGAGCTGCGTCTAAACAGGGAACCATAAACATGCTGGGCCTTGACTGCTGTGTACTGAAACGAACCAACTAACAATTAAAGAGAAGTACGACAAACCTGGAGTTTGGGCTCCTGGCAAATGTTTCCCGCTTTTTAACACGATGACCCAGGATTCGCCAACCCCCAATTTCTGAAAAGGGTAGTATTTCAGCCCGACCACGGGTCCACCAAGATAAACACAATCCTGCTTCAATCTGAAGCCAACCAGAGAATGTCAGAATGATACCGGGGACCTCAAGACCTCACGTGTGCTTATCACTTTCGGAGCCCTTCGCCTGCAGGGACGACAGGGGCTCCTGGATCGGCACGCCGCACACGCTGGTGGATCCCTGCTCCTCTCGCTCCGCGGCGGCCAGGAGCTGGTAAAAGATGTGGAAGCTCCTCGCGTCCGAAGCGGAAGGTGGCCCGAGGGGGAACACAGAGATGGCAAGGGAAGGCTGCAACTGGAATGATTTTTGTTCAAAGGAGACACATCTCAACCAAGTAAGGCTGGCTTGTGACACGCAACGGCAGCTTCAACGATCTGCGTTCTGGCCTGCCCCGACTTTGTTCCCTCCGAAGTTGGGTTTTGTTTTAGGATAGCTTTAGGTTCGGGTTCAGGTTTGGGGTTTTGGGACTGGTTTTCGAGTTTTTTTGAGGTTCGGGTTCTGGACCAGCTTGGGTGTCCCAGGCGCGTCAGGGGCGGGGCCGCATAGTTATTCTCCTGGGTTGTGAACAATGGCGGGGGGGGGGGGGGCGGGGTTCCTAAATAATCCTAATCCCTCATGCGTAGAGGGACACTACAACAAGGAACACCGCTACCATCTGGCATAAGGATTCAGGATTGATTTTGAACGAAATCCAGCTTGAGCGATGGTTGGTCGTTGACCCGCTTGTAGAAAGCGAATAGTTTTCCAAGTTGATGGAAAGGGTAAACCAAGAACTTGATCCCGTTGGCCCAATTGATCAAGCCCAAAACGACCCCTAGATGAGTATGGGGACCCCCTTGACATGGTGGCTTTGCTTTTGGTTTCTCTTTAAACCAGCCTGAAGAGGCTGCCCTCAAACACACACACACACACAAACACAGACACACACACACACACAAACAAATGGCTACCTATGCAACCTCAAGTTTCTGACTTCGAGAGTAAAAGTAGTTTGACCTTCTTAATTCCCACTACAATGGCATTCCCAAATTGCTTGCAGCCCAGGGTGACTCAGGGAGTGAGTCTTTCACCCCTGTCCTCTCCCTCTCCTGCTGGTGTACCACCCGCACCTTCTCCAGCAGGTAGGTATGGGTGTGTGCCCCCACCAGGCGGGGGGCGGAGGCGGCCGCTTTGAACTGGAGCTCAATGTACTTCCTGGAGAGCGCGTTGGGCACGAAGAAAAACCCGTCCTAGTTATACGGGTTACAACACCGAACTTCGGAGGGCCTTGGAGAGAGGCTCCTGTAGAGGTTCACCCTACAAAAAGTACTCCCATGGAAACTCGGACCCCACGAAAAAAGCAATATGTCAACGGCTTGACGTCGGTCCGATGTCCAGTTGTCCATCTCCAAGCACTAAAAAGAGGAAGCTAATTATACGCCAAGGGAGATTTGCCTTGTGTCGTTTGGACAATTCCCTGAACCTCAACGGATTGGATGTAAAGGAACAAGCCAGCAAACAAACAAAGACTCTCCTACGGTATCTTTGAAATTTTCCGAAGGATGGCTTCCCATAGTGGTCATTCTATCCTGGACACATCAGAAACATATCCATCTCTCCACCCATGTGGCATTGATCGCCAGGACCTCCATTCCTTGGGTGCTATAAATCCCAGCAAAAATACTTACCTTTTTGCTCTCTCAATCGCCACGTGCGGAAACACAGCTAGGCTAAGTATGTGGGGAATCCCGAAAAAATTAAAGTCTAAAGATCCAACCCAATAGCGGTAGAGTTTAAAGCCCAAGGGCCAAGGTCTCCCTCCCCAGCTTCCGCCCAGCCGATTCTTCGGGTCCCGAAGCGGGAGCTGTTCTCGTTGCGCAGGGTCTTGGCATTGCCCAAGGCCTCCAACACCGGGATGGAGTCCAGGACCTTCGAATCGAATCCACGCAACGACCGGTGCCGTTGGCGGCCGAGCCCGAAGAGCCTGGCTTGGGAGACACGAAACATCGCTTTCCTTATGGTTTCTCTTCATGCACAAAAGTGGCGCTGGTAAAACACATGGTGTCTCTGAACAGGGTTGCCCAACACATCGCACTAGTTTCCCCAAAAAACTTGGCCAGATTTAGACCGCCACAAAGTTAACCTTTCCCGGTTATCAGGGAGTGTCCGCGTTGGCTGGATTGACGTACTTCTGCTCAGGCCCGTCACAGAGACGCAAAACAATGCCATTACCAACCGCCCACCCCCCTAGGGAATGACATGACCACCCTCAACTAGCATCAACCTCAACCCTTGAACCCCCCTTATAACCCTGTTAATGGACAGGCTTCTTGATCGAGGGTTCCCATTACCTGAGGGGGAGGCCCTTTTCAAGATGGCGTCCGACACCTCTCCCAACAAAATGAAAAAAGGGCAAACCAGCATAGCCTATAGCCAATGCAGATTTAGGCGTCCGCCTTCTGAGCCAAGGGAATCCTGTTAAAGTCATCAAGTATTCTTGCAGATGCCCGACTCCGGTGCTTTCCTCCAAAAGTGATGAGAACCCCCACTTGGGGGCACCCCGAAATCAAACTGCTCTGCTGAATCCATCAACACTACTCGGTGAACCTCACTTCCTGCGGTGGGCCAACAAATCTCCGAACCTTTCCTTCTAAGAATGCTCCAAACCCCAAACCTGTCGTTCCAACCTGCTGAAACAGCCGCAAACAAGCTCCATAACCCCAAACACTTGTCGTTCTAAAAATGATCCAAGCCCCCCCCAAAGAAAAAAACACCTGAACAAATGCTCCAAACCTCCAAAAAGACACCCGACGGCTCACGGAGCTTTCCCCGCCTGTCGCTCCACCGTGGACATGGAGGCCTCCGCGCCTCCGGCGCCCGCCAGCGCCAGGAAGCGCATCACAAACCTACAGCACCGGTGTTCGAAAACCGCGACCATTTCGCGGGGTTGACACCCTTTGCTTTTTCGAGGATGCGCCTTTTTTGGACTGTTTGAACGGGGGCCACCAGTGCGAGGGTTTGAGGCAAACCGCGAGATCCCGTTTCGCGCTTTCGCCCGGGCACTTCGTGGTCTCCGTTTTGCCCGCGCCGCTCTCCCCGGAGACGAGCACCGTTTGGCCCACTGCGCGGTGCCACACGCCCTGCCGAGGGGATGCGATGCTCTCAGAAAATGGATTCGGACTGAAGAAGACCAAGGAGGGGGTTTGGGCGTTCCAACTCATGGGCCTTTTTGGTTGGTATTTTGACAAAAACAAGGACAACCATCTTTGCCGTTTTCTTGCACCGATTCCTACATTGACGCAACAACCATACTCCACGCTCGACCATGGAAACGTCGGGGGGCCATGGTTAATGGTTAAGTGGATAGATAGTCCCATAACCATTGCAAACCCCTGGGCTTGACCCAAAGGTGCTCTTGAGGATGGGGGCTCCTTTGACCAGACCTATGGAGTTTCACCCCCCATCCCCGGATGGATAGGCCTCATAGGCGGCCTTGGCGACGGCGTAGATGTGGGGCTCCTCAGGCTCCTTCTCCTGACTCTGACGCTAAGCGTCCATCAAATCGCATAGCTTCCTGGGTTAATTCACTTGGCATTCCTTTTTTTTCTTTTCTCCAAGATTCTTGCGTTTCACCATGGGGCTTTGATTCCCTCATTTCGTATCAAAACACTTCCTGCTGCTTGTCCTGCGTAATGATCAAATAATTCGGGTTCCGCTTGTCCCTATTCTGCTTGGAATCGAAAAGTTCTCCCATAGGTGCCGTGGTCAACGGTGGGTGGGTGGGTGTCGGTGCGTTGGTTGGTTGGTTGGTTGGTTGGCTGGCTGGTTGGTTGGTTGGTTGGTTGGTTGGGTGGGTGGGTGGTTGGTTGGTTGGTTGCTGGCTTGCTTGGTTGGTTAGGGTTGGCTAGGGTTGGCTGGGGTTGGTTGGTTAGGGTTGGTTGGTTGGCGTGGGTTGCTGCTTGCTTGCTTCGTTGGTTGGTTCGGCTCGTTGGTTGAGTGCTTGAAAGATTGAAAGGTTGCGTGGTTGAACGGTTGGTTGCCTAAGGACATGGCTTGAACCACCCAGACGGAACTTCCACTAAACCAACTCAAAAAAGACCTCCTAAAAAACCCAAGTTGAACCCGGACATGGCTGGCTGAACCACCATTCCACCAACTAAACACAGAAAACAAACAACAACAACCAAACAACAAACCTCAGGCAATGGTTCTGTTTTTCTTGTTTGGCCAGCAACTAAACACAGACAACACAAACAAGAACCTAAGGTAATGGCTGTATTTTTTGGTCAGCCAGCAACTAAACACAGACAAAACAACAACAAAAAACAAAAACAATAAAACACAAAACCTACGGACGTGGCTGGTTGTTTTAGGCCACCCAACCGGTCTCCGATTTCTCGGCTCGGTCTCTCGCGCTCCTGGGCTTCGGGGCGGATCTGGCGGATCACCGCCTCCAGGCGCTCCGCGCCGTAGAGCTGCGGCAGGGCCTTGAAAGGGTTCACCGCCAGCAGCATGGGGCCCGTCAAGGTGTAGATGGCATCCTGAATCCGACAGGTCTGGTACCCCCGAAAAGGTGTGGAGTTCTTTTTTTTCTCCTTTTTTTTTGGTTTTCTTTTTTGGGGGGGTGCAAAGGCATCCTGACATTTTCGAAAGAGGTGTGGCCTACCCCCCAAAAGGTGTGGTATGGGTGGGTGGGTGGAAGGGGGGAGGTGGGGCCCCATTTTTTTTGGTAGGCTTCCTTTTGGTGTGGCGTTAAACTAGGGGGAAAAGGGGATCCTCGAAAAAGAACCAAACAAAGAAACAAATGGACGGGGAAGGGTCCCAAAATTGGCGAGGATTGCTCTCGAGCGGATGGAACATTTCGGTTGGTCCGGGTAAGTTTGTGAACAGGACCTTCAGGTCTATGTGGAGGGGGCGGAAAGGGGTTCTCGCAACTCACGGCGCAGATGCTATCCTGGAAAGCATCCCTGGTTTCTCTTTTCTGGATTAGGGATCCATTCCTCCTCTCCACTAGATATTCAGTTGGTATCAATTCCTCCAGCTTGTTTGCCAGATTTAGGGATCAACCCAATTCTGAGATCTGCTGGGGTTTCTCACACTCCTCCATTTGCGCACAGCCACCAAAGAAACAATAATTTACAAGTCGGCATCATCTTCCTTCAAACCCCAACAAAGCTCACAAGCACACATCATCTCCGCAATTTGCTAATGATCATTGCAAGGAACAGGCAAACACATGCTCCCCAAGTCTTTCCCCAATGATACCGCCTGCCCTGACTGCTTGGTTGTCATGCCACTTCTTGTGGTGGCCAAATCACAAAGCCTGCCGTTGAGAATGCTGCTGCCACGTAACGGCCATGCGCCTCCCTTCAAGGCTTTGAGGGGCGGGAGGTTGGGGCTCAAGTCCCAGCACACCGCCCTTTTCCGCGCAGGCCCCTACCTGTCAAAGCTTCCTGTATCTGCAAATAAATATATATATATATATATATAACGCAGAATGCCCGTCTTTTTCGCAACCTTTCGAGGGTATGGTGTGTTCCCCCGCTCAGGCCCCGGGATCGACGGAATCGCCTGTTGGAAGCGGAGCTGCAGCGCATGGAGCACCGCGGGCTCGTGGAGCAACGGCAGCAGGCCCAGGTCCTGACGTTTTGCGCCGAGAAGCAGAAGGTCTTTGTCTGTCTTCGGGTACAAGTACCCCACAGGAACAACGGCAGAGAAGTCCCTGTAATAAAAAAGGCTCGAAATACCTGCAGACTGGATCTTGTAGTCTTCGTTGTTGTTGTTGTTGTTGTTGTTGTTGTTGTTGTTGTTGTTGTTGTTGTTGTTGTTGTTGTTGTTGTTGCTGTTGCTGTTGTTGTTACTGTAGAATTCCGAGCCCTTTCCCAACGTCACTCTTTCTGCGGACCCCCCAAAGGAACCAGCAGCCGGGTTCTCCCAGTCCTGCAGCTCCAAAGCCCCGCGGTTGGACCGCAGCACCTGGCATGCTCTGACCAGGTTCCAGACGTGTCGCCGAACCCGCGCCAAACATCCGAATCAAAGCACCGCAATCCCCATTTGTGTTTCGCTTTTTCTGGGGGGTCTCCCATTTTTTTATTTTTTTTTTAATTTTAAGGTTTCGCCTTCCTCATTCGCACACGCCTGCCCACATCTGTATGCTTCTCTTACCTGTAGAGCCGGGCAGAACAACTGGGATCCGCTTTCTCGAGTACTCGCCCCTACTCGGCCCAACTGTGAGGTACGCCAAAAGTCGCATCGTGAGATTTGCCGGAGATTTTGATGACCCTTCAACATACAACACAAATTTGGGAGGTACCCACTTGGGGAACCCTGAAATCGGTGGTTCCCCTGAACTCAAACCAACAACGCAATTCCCCCAAATTGCTGGTTTGGACTGGTGGAGGTTCGGGGAGGTTTCCCTTTGACCCTCGACAACCCCCCGCCAAATCACCGATCCCAACCAGCAAAGGGTATCTTGTAAGGGAGAACTTCTCATGAAGATCCAAAAAAACAACAGGCCAAAGAAGCCTCAAACGACCCACCCGGCCCAGGTCCCGATGGCCTCGTTGCGCAGGTGCAGCTGGCAGCTTCCCGTGGCTTTCGGCCGCGGTACCCGGACCTCTTCCCGGGTGACGATGGGGCGGTGCCCCTTGCCGGAGCCCTTGCCCTTGACCTCCACCACCACCACCTCACCTCAGGCGACTGTGGGTTCAACAACAAGCAACAAATGAATGAAAGATACAGTAACAGAATACACAAACGTGTCTAGTCTGCGTATTTACGAAAGGAATTTATCTATAGCCGTGTTTTTGTGTATACATGTTCACAAGGATGTGCAGAAGAAGTTCATGGCCGCCTGGGTGGCTGTCTGTATGCGAACAAGGGCTTGGGCTGAGAAACAAGAGAGGCAAGGGCCTTGGGCAATGCCGATGGGATTCGATCCTGCGACACGTTTTGTGTGTTGGCGCAAGAAATCACTTTTCTTTAGCAACACTCCCAAGGCAAACAAGTTTGATGTGCAAAAGTCTACATCCACAGTCTAAAACACCAAACACATGCTGCCCAGCAATATTGGGCCGCCCTCATCATCCTCAAGCCAACGGTAGTCGGGCGGCAAGATTGTCAGTCACTAGATTCTGCCACCACCCCAAAAAGCCAGGTACTGAACACATGTGGCTAGTACTGCAACCGCTATAGCCCAGTTGCACCTGTTGTCAATCCCAAGAGAGGTACCAACACCTGGTGTCGATTTTGCAACTTCTCCGGGTCTTCTTTGCGACGTTTGGCCCTGCAAAACTGCCAAACATCCCCCCATTCAAGCTCGTGGCCGCTTTCTTGCCCGAGTACTTTTCAACCAAACTTCACAACCATACAATGGCATAACATGGAACATCCATCTTAGGGAGTATCAGCCACATAGAACAGCCTAACTACGGCCCTTCCACCCGCCTCGCCCCACCCGCGCCCCGCCGGCCCCGGAGTTCGGCCTGCGGAGGTGTCCTCGAAGCCCAGGACCAGCCCCGGGCGCCAAATCTCCGCGTCGCAGGGCACCCAAACCTCCGCCCCCGCCTCCAGCGCCATGGCGGAGCGACCTGGGAAATCCGAAAAGTGAAAAGAACATCTGGAGGAAACATCTGTTCGTGTATTCATTGAGGTTGGTCTCTTGGCGGCTTCCGTGGGCCACCGATTCGTGCTTTGCTAAGAAGCCATTGCGTCCTTCGGGAAACCAACAAGCTGCGCCTTGAACGACCCTCCCTGAGTGTTGCTACGTTCAGGGAAAAGCCCTGAATGGTTCCCACGGAAGGTTTGTCCGAGTCCGTCCCACTTTGGGGCCCTGAGCCGAAAGAAGCGCACGACCATTTCCCCGCGAACAACTCGGACCGAAGAAATATGTTTCGGCTGTACATTGGCAATCACATCGGCAGACTTGCAAATGAAACCGTCAAAGGGTAGTCCGGAAGTCACGTAAATCTTTATGGCCCACAGGAAACTGCCATCAATCCGGATCCTGAAGAGTCATTCTCTGTGCTTTTGTGGCACTCCTCCCACCCCCTCATTGTGAGTGCCCAGAATCAGGGATCCTATCACATTAGGGCCTGACATATTGGTGCTTTTTTTTGCGCAAATCCGCGTGCCCATGGCCAAGCTTTTATCCGAGTTTCGGCCCCGGCCTCGTCTCTCGGGTCTTTGCGGCTCGCCTGAGAAAGCGGAGGTCTGTTGGAAGCCATTCTACTCACATCATTCGACAGTCATGGTCCCAATGGTGTCACTTCGATCGAGTGGATTGGCCAAAAAAAGTCTGAACTTTTTGATCTGGTCTTCGGTAGGCGATTTTCCCCCAGTTTTCAGAGGGTCATCCTTTGAAAGTGGTGCAGAACTTTGTCCATCCACAGCAGGGCTCGCTGGGACGCTTGCCCAGTGCCAGAAAGCAAGCGAAACATTGCACCACATTCAAAAGCAATGGGAGGATGGCAAAGCGTTGACAGCTGGCCAAACGGGAGCAGCTTTGTCTTACAAAAGTCTTGTCGTTGTTCGGGTATAGTTTGCCTTTCTTCTGTGCCGCGCTGGGCCAAAAAGCCGTTTTTGTTTTTGTTTCCTGCCCGATCGAATTGTTTAAACCATCACCCGCTCAAGTTCATTCAGTTTCACAGGGGTCTCCATATTTTCCTGACAGAAAACATCATCCCCAACGAGGATCAGCTTCGAAGTCTTGAAACGTGGCCTGCTGATCAATCACCCAAAGGGAGTGGGAACAAAAACGCCCGAGTCTCCAGAGGTTGAAGGTGAGTGTCGGAAAAAAGCCATCCAAAGCTCCTGGCCAAGCTTTTTACCTCAGGATTGATAAACTCTGCTTCATATTTCGCCCACCTTGAAAAATCACAAAATAAGGAGACGTTGGATATGTGGGTCTTGTTCGGTTCCCTTTCAACTCCCCCTCCGTTTCATCCGCCCTCGAAAAAAAAAAAAAAAAAGAAGAAAAAAAAGAGAAAAAACAAGAAAGGAAAACATAACTAGACCCAAACCAGCGAGCGGGCGTCCGAGTGCCACACTCAGGCCCAAGGTGCGGCCCACGTCTCGGGCGGCCTACCAGGTTACAAAGGCTTCTGAAATTTGCTACCCTCAGAGAGGCTCACCGGACTTTCCCCTTAGGATCAATTCGCTGGTCCCCTTCAAATCACCACTTTTGGAGGTTTCAATGGAAAACCATCAGTAAAGTGATCAAGTTGAAGTGGAAATCCAGTGAGGTCTGGTAAATCACCCTCTTGTCACGTTGACAGAACCCAAAGAAATGGTCCCTTGAAAAACATCGTCTTCGACCGATTCCTCAGGTTCCATGTTTGGAGCATCCATCATGGGCTTGAGGGTGAGCCTTTGAGATGTTTTCCCTGACGCCGTGGGGGTCCGAAACTCGCAGGCAAACAAACTCACAGGCAAGTTTCTGCCACCCCCCACAAAAACAAAGAGTGGGCTCCTTGTGGTTTCTCTTACGGCGAACGTATCACGGCCCCCGCCCACCCCTCCCCTGGGAAAGAACGACATAGCCATGCCTGGTCTGTGGTTTTTGGAAGGAGCCTTACCCCAATTACCCGCAAAGGGTCGGCCACCTGGCTGGCGCATTGGGCAAATGGCCAAGCAAACGACAAACCCGACATGACACCGAACCTCAAACAGTTTCCCAAACAAATTACATCAGATGCTGGGCTCCGCCACTTTGAGGGTTTTCCATTTTGCGGTGGTACAGGACGGAAGGAAACCGGCTCCTTTTGCCCGCTCCCCACATGCGGGGGATCTTCCCGGAGAGGTCTGGGTTTCAGGGGGCACGAAAAACCATGGTTCAGCCAACATGTCCGGTCTCCGAATAATATTCGAAAGGGGCTGCAGGTTCTTCGAAACCAAATTAAGTCATGAGAGAATAATGGTTTCCTCTTTCACCAACCCCTGGGTTCGCTTTGCTGCGGTAGCAGTTGTCGGAGGAACGCCAGTCCATTTGTGTGAAACTCTTTCTGCCGGTTCTGTTGGCTCTCGGAAAGTCGGAAACGTGTCTAAATTCCGTCAAAGGTTCACAACCATCCCTACCCAACCCGGTGTCTTGACGTGGTCAAATGTGGTGTGAGAATAGGGAACCCTCCAACCAGATTGGCTCGTGGTTTCCATCGGCTCCTCTCTCCTTTCTTGTACGAGCCACATTCCCTATATTTCCCTTTGAACCATTACCCGCAAAGGATATCACTTAAAGCTGGTCCAAACGGTGATGTTCAATTCTACCACAAGGATACCCTCAAAACACACACACACACCCATGCAATGGGTGTTTTCTTGAGGGCACTCTTTTGTTTCGCGGGTAACCAACCGGACCATCGATCGACATTCTTTTTTGGGAGCCCCGAGCCAGCGGCGTTGCCTTCTGCGCTTCTGAGGCGCGCCAGCGGCGGGCGCTGTAGGGCTCCCCGTGCCAGGCCCTAAGGCTCACGAGCTTGCCGAGGGAGCGGATGGTTGCACCAATCACTTCATCAACTAGCCCAAGCAACCAGCCAGCCAAGGAACCAACCAGCCCAGCAACCAAGCAACCAAGCAACCAAGCAACCAAGCAACCAAGCAACCAAGCAACCAAGCAACCAAGCAACCAAGCAACCAAGCAACCAAGCAACCAAGCAACCAAGCAACCCACCAACCAGCCAAGCATCCAAGCAACCAGCCATGCTACAAGCAGAAAATCCGCTTCTCGATTCGGCTCCATTTCTTTCACTGAATAAGGAGACCTCAAAGGGTAAACATCACTGGTCTATGGGGGTGCATCGCAAAAATGGGCTTATCCTTGGATGAGCACCGTCTCCATGGAAGTCGGGAAGCGGTGCTGGCATCTTTTTAAAGGGTGCGTTTAAGGGCGCAGTTTTTGTGAGGTCGGTTCAAAGGGACACATCCCTAAACATCGCCCAAAGATTTAGGCTCCGCTAGGGGTGAAAGTCAAAGTCTCTGGGGCCCTTGTCCTATCGCATAAGAGGTTTTTGAGAATGACAAACAAGATGATGCCAGCAACTATGGCTGATGATGTCAGTAGCTGATACATACATGCCTGATGCATATGTATAATATATACATATATATATATATATATGTCATATACGCACTCAAATGTTTTACCCTTTACCCGTGACTTATCAATAAATTGCCCGACAGCAAAACAAACAGGGTATCTTGCCAATGTTGGGGCTCGCGCTTTGGGGACGCGCAATACCACCTAGCTTTGCCAAGCCAAACCTGAATGCTCGATTGAGGTCTGTAAGAAACAAACAAACTCAGTGCTTCGAGGTCCATATGGCCATGGGTCAAAATCCAAATCGTACGCCCCCGTGAACATCCGATTCAACCCCCACTCAAATAGGTTCGAAAATGGGTGACTTCACCCACCCCGAAATCCGAAATGGGATCCCAGTCGTTTCCCACGGCAACGCAACGTGGGCGGTTCCGAGAGGGCCGGACTCCAGGGCCCGAGGCTCCTGGGCCGCAGGCCAGGGTTCCCCGAACGCCCTACGACATGGGAAGACTTTTTCTAAAGAAACAACGGGTTGTGTCTTCTTCTTCTTCTTCTTCTTTTTTTTCTCTCTGTTTTATGGGTATCACGGTATCCAGAACAGATATCAGACCACCTAAATGGAGAAATAGATGGTTGAGGGTTGGAAAAAGGACACTTGCAAGCCCAGCAACAAAAAATGATTGGACACCTCGAAGTTCACCTTCCTCTTTTTCCTCCGGGCTGCGCTTCCTTTGGCGTTTCTTGGTACACCGCATCTCCTCCATCCCGCCCTTCCGCCGATGAAAACATCGAGCGCGCCGCAAGAGCTGTGCAGAGCTCAAGCCCAGTCCGGCAGACCGCTTCACATGCCAATCACTTGATGGGAGAGAAGTGCTCGAAGAACTTCCAACCACTTTTCGCCTCGCAAGAAAAATGGAAACCAAAAGGGATCACAACTTTAGGGGCCCTAGTTTGGCACACAGCCATCTGGCATTTCATCCATGCCGAACTCGCGGGACCTGATGCGAAGATGAACTTCTGCTACCGACCCCGGACAAACGGGGATACCTTTCTTGTAGATTTCAGGATAGCCTCCTACGCTTTGTCCGTGCCGCTCCTAGAAGATGACCGGAGGGTAGAAAATTGCTTGGTTTGACCAAACCTGCAACAGTGGCTCTGTTTTCACCTGGAGAAAATGACCCCATGCTCCGGGTTACTGCTTGGGTCGAGGTGGATCTTTCCCATGTCGCTCAGATCCCATAGGCTATGGGCGCATGAAGGCCAAAGGACACCATTTGCGACTACCAAACAAGTTTTGACCCTCCGTTTTGTTTTTAGCGGCACGGAGAAGCAGGCAAAGCTGAAGGCTATCCTGGATCCATACAAGCTGAAAACAATGTCCAGGCAAAGCTACGGTTGTCCTATGCTTTCTCACAACGTGCAGAAAGAGGCTTGCCTGCCACGCAAAATTCCCCCCCGATATAGTTTGGCTCAACGACGAAAAGGTGCGTTTAGCAGCTGCGCTTTAGGGTTTAGCTGTTTAACCCACCTTCAACTGGCTATCAGCAGTTACATTCCCTAAAGGGGTGCGGATAGGTTTCCTCAGGCGCGATGTTGTCCAAGCGAGCGTCCCCGTCCTGAGCTTGCTCTCGGCCTCAGCCGAAAACACTCGCCGATGCGCGAATTGTGACCTGTGCCCTTTGGGTTGTCCTCCAGATTTTCCTTGGCGATTGTGGCTGTTGCCTCATGTCCCCAAATCAGCAGTAGACTGCCAACAATAGTATAAGTGACTCATTTCCGACCAGCCTGTTTTGGCTGGTGATTGAACACCTGCCATGTGCGGATTAACAGTGCTAATGGCTGTCCCCTGATGCGCACGTGATGGCCAACCAGCTTTGCCGCTTTCTTCTCAGGGATTGTTCGCTTAAGCAAACAAACAACTGTCAAAGAATCAGAGCATGCATTGCTTTCAAGGAAAATGCCAACAAAAGATCAAATCCGGGCCCACCACCAGGTCCTCTTTGGAAAACGCACTTAGTGACTTAGTGACTTGGAGCTCGTGGGTTCCTTAAAGGAATCATCCATCAAAACACCAGTCTTACAAGAAAATCCTCGAAATCAGCCGGAGGTGATTCTCTTGACTGGCCCAAATGCATCCTGGCTCTGCTTCATGGGTCGCCAGAGCAGGTTTTTTACACAGCTCTGATTGCAGTCGCTCATAATCACTTTTGAGTGCGGTTCAAACCCCCCATTTCACAACGGGGGGGGGGGGGTTAATAGAACCACATTTGTTTACCTAAGCATTGTCATCATCTAAATTCGGTCAACCATTCTACATAACCCTAGGCTTGTAGGTTGCAGGTTTCCATGAATTGAACAAAATTATGGGCAATTTAGTCCCCACATCTCATATAGAACTGTTGCAACCCGCCGTCCTGCAAATGAGCCGGTTTTGGGGTCGCATCCCTTTCGTTATTCCTTTGACTATCGGAACGGAATAACCTTGTAGTGGACACCCAATTTGCTTGAAGTGAAGTACCCAGAAAAAAACAAATGGAACTCTTCAAGGGTTTGGAGAAGTATTTGTTTGACGAAAACCCCAAGCAGAAAGGCAGCCTTGAAGCCCCCCGTCTAACCTGGGGCGCTCTTCCCCCCAGCAAAAGATCTGACGGTCTCACTTTTTGTGGCTTCCAAAGGGGAGAGAGCCATTTGCTTTCAAAAGGTGCCAGCTGGGCGATCACAGCTGACCATGCAACCGTGGGACTGGGTTGGATCAGGAGATTCTCACTCTGGCCGAAGTTTTCCAGCTTTTTGCCGGCCAAACTGGTCCAAACCCCAAAAGTCGAAAGTCCATAAACCCAGGGAGCTGAGAATTGAGTGGACACATTCGACCGGCGATCTTCCAAACCCGGCGAAGCCCATCGGTTCTGGGCAGCCGACGGGACTCCTCCGCCTCCAGGCGTGGCCTGGTCAAGGCGTTTCCAGTCAGCTTGCGACAGGCACATACCTGGGTCCTCCAGCAGAGAGTGAGAATCAGGGTACCCTTTTTCTGTTTTCTGTTTTAGTAGGGGAACCCTCCCCCAAGATCAGAGAGTAAAAGGGCACTGCTGGGGGACCTAGCATACACACACAACAAAATATTGGAACCTTTTTCTTTGGCCCTTTGAGAGGCGTACACACACACACACACACAAGAAAAAGGCAAAACACAAATCGGGCCCTGGCGCCTCTGAAGAAGCCCCCTTTTAAAGGAGATGCCAATAGTAACAACCACCCTTCTGTCAGCTTCCACTATTGTTGGAAAGAGGGCAACTATAGCCACACAAATGATCACCGATCCACGATCAAATGATAGGACACGCTCTAAAAGCAAGTGCAACACCTCAACAAGATCACGCCTCACCCACTGTCCTTGGTACACATCTACCACATCTACACAAAACCCACTCAGATTCTGGCCCCCCCAAAATTTGCCCCAAAATAGAAGCTAACATTTTGACAAGGAGTCCCTGAACTCGCTGGAGCTCAGGGGAATGAGAAATGGAATGAACCCCCCCGACAAATACCATCCAACTGGTGGCTTCATGATTGGACTTAGGCAACCAGTCAAACTGAATCTGTATTCTTTGCTTCCCTTTGAGTCACTGGTAAAATGCAAAATGTATCCTAAGTCTACAGGTTTCTGTTCACCAAAGCCACTGGGTTCATTCGACCAGCGGAAGCCCGACTGAGCACACCCTGGCCCCGCGGAACGACCGCTCTGGGGTTCAAACGGCAGCGATGCAGAGCGCAGGAGTCGCAGGCTTCGCCTCGAGTCACGGCTGGTGTTCCGCTTGAGAGAGGTTAAAATAAGTTGGTGCCTGCCTGACTTTTTCTTCTGTAGTCTATTTAGTAGGGGAACCCTCCCCCCAAAGGGTTGGCAAAAGGGCACTACGGGGGACCTAGAAGACATACAACCACATATCCACATGGTTCAAGAAATGCTTCATGGGCGCTTGTTGTTGGGGCTTTGAAGCTTTTGTTCTCTGGAGTCAATTGGGGGCTGACCTCACTGGGCCCCAAGCCACCTGAACGTCAACTTCGGGACCGCGCTCAGTGCAGGTCGGTGTGTCACTTCGTAGGGGATCCTGATGTGGGGGTGGGTCAAAATTAAACCACCAGGGGACCGCAGGTTTTAGTTTGCAGGGTTCCATTTTGGGTACCTATTTTTGACCCACAGCCGTATGGACAGTGCTCCAGATAGATCCGACATTGAGATTCATGATGTGAGCTTGCAAACCCCGCGAGGTCGCTACACGTTGTGCCCAAATAAACATGCAGCCGCACCCGAATCGCATGCCCCGAATCCATATCTATCGGGGGTAAGAACGTCTTTGAGTTGGACCTGTGAAGGTTGGGGATTTGAAATTGAGCTGTGCAATCCAGGCGATGCTTGCTTACTCGCTCACGGAGTGGGGGGTGAATGGATATCTACCATTGCTATTCTTGCGATAGGGAAGGGAGGGAAATGATGCAGCAGCGCCTCCAAAGATGCAATCCTGCTGGCTCTTTGCCTCTCTCTCTCTCTCTCTCTCTCTCTCTCTCTCTCTCTCTCTCTCTCTCTCTCTCTCTCTCTCTCTCTCTCTCTCTCTCTCTCTCTGTCTCGTGACATTTCTGTGCCATGTTCAACATGCCCATGGGTCGTAAGCATGGCGGGTTGCCTCGCAGCCCTTGCACGGCAATGCCTAAACAGAGGCTGACCAGCCTTGCAGAAACCAAGAGAAAGGGCCCATGGCACCACACATCTCCTCAAATTCCGTCTTTCCGCTTTCCTGGCATCCGAGGCAAACCTGTCTGGTAGCCCAAGCTATGGGTCCCGGGCAACCCCTTTGCCGGAAAAAAAGCGACGGAACGGCGCGGACTCTGCGGTGCCGGGCGAGCGCTGCCGGCTCTTCCGGGTTTCCTGCTCCTCCAGCATGATCTGATCCTAGGTGGAGGGGACCTCAGGGTCCCCCTTTTCCGCTTTGCAGTGACTCAAAGCGGGGAGGTTGGCCGGAAATTGTAGAGAGCAGCAAACCTGAAGTCTGGGGATCCCGATTCCCCCCCAGTCCCTTGGGAGTTTGCCTTGGTGGCTTTCGGCGTCTCTGAGATCCCAAGCTGAGGGCTCAAGCGGAAGTGCGCCAAAGCTTGGTGATCCATGTTGCAAGGCGACGTCGAAACTTCCGGCTTTGTTTATGCGGCCATTCCGAAAGCTCGGCAACTGGAATACTCCTTGGGGTTTTCCAGAGAGTTCTCAAAGGGCCGAGGATTTCTCTTTGTGCTTGAACTTCTCCTTTCGTAGGTCAAATGGGGTATCCCTCAAACTGGCTCGAGGTCGCCCCTTTTTGGGTTCCATGTCAAGGGGAGAAACTTGGGAACTTTTTTTAGGTGAACATTTGTGGTCCGTATATTGCTTTGGGACCCCTTTCGGTCTTTTGGTTGGTTTCAAAGGAAGCCAAAAGGAACCCACCGTATTTTAGGGGTTCCCTGAACGGAAGGAACTTATCACTGGGAACCTCCTCACTCCCATGAACCTAGAATCTCAGGCTGCTTTCTCTCTGTCGCGATTTGAGACGTGTCCTGTGTGCACGTTCCATGACGGCATCTGGCGCTTTGAAACCAATTTGGGGCATCATGCTGACCCCAGATTTATCAACCTTTGATGCATATGCACATGTTATACGGAAAGGGAAACACACAAATCCATCAGGTTCTACTCAGTTCTGAGGTCAACCTTGCCTATGTCGAACCAGAGCTGCAAGGCAACCTCCAAGGTTCGACCGTGCAGCTTCGAACAATAAGATAGGGCAGGGTCAAGTTGTTTTGGCTCAGAGTCTGCCTGGTTCGAAACTTTAGGCTTGGGTTTCAAACGCTTCGCCGTGTCCAGCGTCGAATTGGCTGGGCAGGACCGTCTTGGTCCACGCCGTATGCGCCGCAAGGCCGCGAGGGCGGCTTTGCCAGCACTTGTCGCCTAGTTGGTCTCAGGCCGGCAAAGAGTAAAACTTTGGGCTGGGTGGGGAAATCGTCATGATAAAAAAAGGTGAAAAGGTTGAACGTACCAAAAAACATAGCCAAGTCACTGCTTCAAATGACGTTGCGCCTGCTCACTGAGATGCGGCATACGCATTGTTGTGAGTTGCATATACCTGAGACAGCACGTGACAACGTTACTTGTGACATTGCGGGAAGCGGAGAGGTAGTTATCAACATTCCCCCTACTCCAAATACCCTGTCTTTTCAGGGTATCATGTCGACGCTCTACTAAAAAAGGAGGTATTTACAAGGACAACCAGGTTTTCCCGAAAATACTATGAACAAACGGGTATTTTGAGTAGGGGTTGGTGAAACTGAACTCTGGCAAAAGTCGCTTGTCAACAGTCGATGCGTGCGCGGCCAAGCTGCGTTGCAAATGCCTTTTCTGCTTCTGCGGGCGCAGGGCTCTCTTTGGCCACGCACCTTTGCCGGCGCCATCAAACAACAAACGCCTTTTTTGAGATCATGTTGAGGGAAACCCTCCAAAAACAGAAGCAACCACACACACACACACAAATGTGCACAAGACAATAAATATATTCGATTCTCCTAGGTTTCAAAGTGCAAAACCCATGCGAATTGAGGCCCCTATGGCTGGAAGACTCACGCCGGGACACTTCATGCACAGCTCTCTGTGCAGGATGAATCGCCCCATCGAGGTCAGCCCTTCCGCACCCATGGCATGCTTGACGCCTTCCAAGTTTGCCAGGATGTCGCCTTGGAATCAGCGTTCCGACCCCAACACCTGCCATAGGCCAAAGGGCAACTCTCTTCGTAGTTGATTTTTCAGAGATTAATTCACGTTAACGGGTGATGCGGGTGTTGCCGCGTGCGCAAAGCGAGGCTTCAGATTTCTGAGGGCGGTGCGAGTCTTTTTACCTCACCCCATCCGCAAGCTTAGAATTATTTGCCACTAGCAAAGTCACTCGCAGTGATCAGCCATAGGGAAGCACGACCTTGATGAGCCCCCCCCAAACAAGCAAGCTAATGACCCCAATTTAAAAGGCTTTATTCTTTGAAGCAGACGAGTTCATAATATGAACCATCCGAAATTCAGCTAATAAAACACATCCGAAAAAGAAATCACTTATTTTCTCGCTTGGAAGACTTGTATCCTGTTCGTGCGACGTGGAACCCCCTCCAAAGACCAGCTTTTGTTCCCGGGAGGCATGGACTGCAGAGTGCTGGTTCAAGAGCTCGCCTTTTTTGGACCCAGCCACGACTGAACAAAGACAACCGCAAGAAAGTTCGAAGGTTTGGTTTTGAACGAGTCAGACAACAGTTTGATTGTCTAGAGGGAAACTCCAGAGGAAATACAAGCCGCAAGCTCCTTTTTCAGAACCCTTAAACAGTTGGGAGCCACATGGTGGATTCAAAGGGACATTTAGACGTATAGTAGCTGATCTAACGATTACGACATGAACAATGTGACACCCATGCCAAAACAGGGCAGGGGTGGTTAATTCAAAAGAACACCTACTCGTCGGGTGGCTGATAAAAACATAACACCCATCCCAAAGCGAAGCCCCTGGGGTGCTTGATTTCAGGATGACGCCCATCGCACGAACCGGACACCTGTCCTTAGAGTGGCAAATGCGCCCTTGTGGCCGATAAAAAAGGCCTCGCAGGAAAAGGAATTTTGAAGGAAATGATCACACAACAGAAACCTAGCGGTTTTTTAAAGAAACGACCTAAACATCGCTGGTGCTTAGTGGAGAATCTGGGAATAAACCCAGGGGTCCCCTTACAGGAAACCACCAGTTGGATGGTTTATAGGGGTCATTCCATTTCTCATTCACCCAGGTCACCGAATTGGCCCTCCGCAAACTTCTCCGCCACTTCGGCCGCAATCTCCTCAGCGAAGGAGCGGAACCGTCGCAAGTGAAGGGGGCACACTGGGCAGTTTTTTGCTTTGTCGGCTCCCAGCCAGTTTTTGGCCCAGAAGTCAGAAGATGAAACAAAGATCAAGAAGCAGGCCTGGATGCCCGGAAAGCTTCTCAACTTGTGGCCACCTTTCATAGGAGCTTCCATGGAATCGCCTGAGCTCGGGTAACTACTTTGCTTTTGGACCCTGCATTTAAGAACCCCAAAATCGGGCACATGCGCACTGAGACCACATTGGCACAACATCCGAAATGAAAGGCAATCAAACAATGTAAACCCTGGAACAACCCCATGTTACAACAAACATAGTATCTTCAAAGTCTAGTTCACATTTCGTCGACCTTGAATTGTAAAGCGTAATCTAGGAGACCCCAAACGCATGCCGGTTGCGTCAAAATGGCGTGCCTTTGGTTTCCCTTGTCAGCCAACCGCAAAAGGGATAACCTTACAATCCCAAAGCCCCACAAGAACGGAAAGTTGAAAGCTGTGGCGCCACCTGTTCTAGCGGGATCTCCACGTGGGCGGTAAAGTATTCCTCCACGAAGGGGTCCCACTTTCGCACCTGCTTGTAGAGGCCGCTTGCCTTGGTTCGCTTCAACCATGGCCATGGAGCCCGGAGACCTGGAAACGGACACATCGTTTCCAGAGGCCAGTCTTCCATGTGGGGCTGCGGGGCATGGATGCATCCTCAAATGAGATGATTCGCAAACAAGTGGTTTCCTCTTGATCTCTTTGCAAACGACCCGAAAGGAGCAGCTCAAACAAAACATGGCCTCGATGTGCAGCGGTGAAAACTCCTCTTGTGGTCATGGTGATGGTCCCTTACATGGGCCCATGACCTACACAAGCGTGTCAAATGACCATGACATGGAAATGCCGAACACTGAAGGCGCCATGCTGCCGGGCGGAAATCCGGCTTCGCCGCCGCCCTTCGGCCCCACCGCCGACCACCCGCCGTCGCTGGACTTGTTGCCGCTGACGGCGGTTGCTGCGGTTTCTTGTAGCCGCAAGTCGCTCCCTTGATGGGAGGTGCAGTCAAAAGCAGGTCTGCCAAGTAGTTCACCACATCATCCTTGCAAGATTTTCAAGCCGCCCAAAACAGGCAGACATCAACTTGGAAGAAAATAGACCACATTTGGTTGGGGTCATGAAACGCAACCCTTTATCTTCTTGAAACACAGCGACCAACCCATGCTATCTTGGCTTTAGACACAGCCTCCTTTGCTTCCTGGGATTCTTGGGAGTAGTTTGGTTTGCCAGGCGGAATCTGCTACCACTTTTGGAGCGTAGTCTTTCCGTACCTAGGGGTCTCTTAAGGGTTATATTTTTTTGGGGTCTCCCACAAAGGAAATCTGATCAGTCATTTCCAGTCAAGTCCGAAACAAACCCATATCCACCGGACCCTCTGGTAGCTCCAAAACTCTGCTTGCCTTGACCAAGGCATTTCTTGGACCCAAGGAGGTTAAAATGGGACCAACGAGACAATAAATAAGTAAGATGAGACAAACAAATGAATCAAGAGAATAAACAATAATATGAAAGACTAAGATATAGGGAAATCATATGAACATATATAATGATAGGACATATCAATAAAACGTGAATGACATAAACCAAGATATATAGAAATAAATATTAGCATAACATATGAAAAGTATATAATAAACAATATAAGAAACACATAATAAAATACTTCTAATAAACGATAAAAACAAATGATGAAAGTCTAGACTTTTAATGATTCAGATCGGAAGCATCAATACGGAAGGGTGAGGAAATTGCCTTTGACAGCCACTGTTTGCGACCTTCTTGCTGGGGTATGGGGTTTTGAGGATTCTTGGCTGCAAAATAGGCAATCTGCGTCCATTGCCCCCACCCCTGCAGCCCCCAAGTGCCTCGTTGACAACTCCAGATTAACTACAAGGCGGGGGCCAAATTTGGTCCTCTAGGGCAGTCCAACAAATACTTGGTGATTCTCTCCCATATGCAGTCTACCCTAAAACATACAATTACAGTAGTGTAGGATACTTACGAACTTCAGATGCTGCGTGTGTCCTTGACCGACGCGGCGAAATGCAGCGCGTCGCCCAAGGGCCAGTCGCGCACCTTCTCGAAGTCGGTGCGTACGCCAAGGCCCGCATCAGCGATCCATTCGCGGATGGTGCCCATGTTGTCGTCGTAGACTTGCCCGTAGCCATACCTTCGGGCCAAATGTTGCAACTGGCTTCTGTGTTTCAATTGGTACAAATTGTTTTGCAAACAATACTTTAGCTATTTCCCTCACTTCCTGAGTGGAGTGGCCAAAAGAAAGTCCAAACTTTCTGTTTACCACTAAACTGGTCCAAACCCAAAAAGTGACAAAAGTCCGCAACTTTTCTCTCAGGGAGTGAGTTCTTCAACGGTGGCCATCCATTTTTGCTTTGGCCCTTCAACCTGTTTGTCTCCAGTTCGCCTGGTCCTGATTTCTACAAAGAAGGCTGGGATTTTCGGCTCCGGAATCCGGCAGTGCCCCTGCAGTTGGGACCCACACACACACACACAGCCCTCCCCGCTTATTTGAAACTAGCAACCGAGAAGTCATGGGATGGGCCACAGCCAACTGCTTCTTTGAGCGCTTCGGACTTGAGCTGGGATGTTGCTTAGGAAGCGACTTATTTCCCGCTAAGATGGTCCAAACCCAGCCAGTTTCAAGCCCAGGAACTCAGGGAGTGAGAAAAGGTACTGCTCCAAACCAGGGAACTATGGGGAACCCTGGTCACTGGGACCGGGGATAAGCGTCGCCTTTGCGAGTAGCCGCCCATGAAGAACACCGCGCGGCCGCATTTCCGGCGTATCTCCTGGAACAGCTCCTCCCAGAGCGGCTTGTAGATCCTGATGTCCATCTGCTTTGTGACGTGCTCCTAACTCCAAGGCTTTGGCCATTGTCTAACACATGATTGAAAGGATACAGTAGCAATTCGCAGGCATGTCTGCCTAAAACCTGATTGAACGGATACAGTAGTGTTTTGAAAAAAAGGGACCCCTGACTAACCCAAGCAACCCAATGATACGCTCATGCGAGGTCGAAAAACAAGTTCCTCCCGGTGGAATTCCGCAAAGCGCGGGTGGCAAGCCCAAACACCCGGCATTTCTTTGAAAAAGCGGTGCTTAAATTCAATACCATCTTCTTCAGGGATTTCCTGGTTGGAGCTCTTGCATGCTGCCAGATGATCCGACAACTCGAAACAAGCGGACGCGCTTGCAAAAAGAATCATCATCTTGGCTGACACTAGGTACTCCAGTAGAGAGGTTAGAACAAGCTTGAGGGTACCCTTTTTTTGGTAGTCTATTTTAGTAGGGGAACCCTCCCAACCAAGAAACGGTAAAGCTGGCGCCAATTGCTGGGATACCTAGCTGATCTCCCCTCCTAGCTGTAGCCCTGCCATGTACACACGAGGCGCGTTCCCAAAGTAACTGACGCCCAGGACTTGGAAGCCATCGCTGCGCTTCAGCATCTGCAAGATCTCTCGGACACCTCCACCTCCTGCGAAAACGATCCACTGGGTTGAACCTTGAACTTGGATTTGGACTTTTTCCCGCGGAAAAAAACACTTGTGCTCTATCCCCTAAAAAAGACACAAAAAACAAAAGGAGGTTCAGGTTTCCCTTTGAACTCCCTGCAAGTTTCAAGTGACGAACCAACCCTCCAGTCCCGTATTTTCGGATTTTGAAGGAAACCATTGGGTAATGGGGCCGAACCACCTAAGATTTGGCTGGGGACTCGTTTCATCCACACCTTGGTTTTGCTTCTCGAGGCTGCGAGTGAAAGGTCTGGGCCCTTTCGCCGTACATGCATACTCAGGGCTCTCCATACAATCCCTTTTGGGTAATATCTGGAATCTCGCTATGCAGGGACATGGATGCAGGGAGGGTTTGGCAATTTTTACTCTTTTCGCTACAGATCAACAACATCTATCCTCAATTACGCAGGGTCTTGATCTACGTTCGGTGGCGGGCGCTTGCTATGAGGAGATTCCAGCCGGCTCTTTCCCCTCTAAACACCGAAGCTGACTTTGCATTGGCACGCTGAGAATTTCAATCCCTGAAGTGAAGGGGAACCCTGGCAGCGAAAACCGGCCTTGGGTCCGGGAGCTTGCTACGGCTTCCTCGGGGTCCATTTCAACCGGGGACTCGTATGGTCGTTTGGGTTATGCGTGCAACCTCCGCCCTGAAAGCTTTGGTTGTACATCTTTTTCAGGACTCCCGGGTTGGCATGAACAGGGCGTTCATATCGCACCGCAAAAGCTCCAATCTAGGGTGGCCTGCTACTGACATGGACACACTGAAATATTGCAGGGAACCCCCCCCTTTCCCGAACTACCACCGGCTTCGATGCTCTTTTGGCCGACAAGGGCTAATCTGCAATTTCCCGTCTAAACCCATCAATCCGAACACGCATACCCAAACACATGGCCATGGGGCATAACCCATGGCTCCCATTTTGGGGTGGATGAACATGCATTTGCTTTCCACCTATTTTGATGTTCACCAGGGGGTTTCCTGGGTTTTGACCAGCCACATGGAACCCGAAGACAGTCCGAACCACCTGGGTTCAGTCCTCGGTACTGCAAGTGCAGGTCACCGGGAAGTTTCCAGCTCAGCGAGCCTTTCAGCTCCGCCTTCTTGCCTGGCAAGAACCATGTGGGTGGACTCTGCTGCTTCTTTTTTTTGTTGTTTGGCCTTTGGAGGCAAACCCAAGGAAACCGGCCATGTGCCCTATTTAGATCGGTGAACCAATCAAACATTGGAAGATTCCAAGCAAACATTGGAGGATATAAACGAACCATGCCGTGATTTGTAGCACAAACGCCAAATAACATGGAACATACGAACCAAACACAGACTGGGGGATGGCTTGATGGCCGCCAAACTCGGGGTGGTTACTCATTGGCAATCCATCCATCCTACCGATGCCCACTAGCGATGGATGAGCACATGTCGCTCGAATGCCCAGGAGGGTGGTCCAACAATAGGGCAACCAAGACACTCCTCCAACACAGGGCCCCCAAAGCACTATCAGGGGGCGCTAAACAACTAACTAGATTGAATGGGGTGGGCTACCTTAAACACACGCAAACTTAGTTATGACCGCAAGAGAATATTGTATAATTGTTTTGCCCCTTATATTACCTAAGGGAAACAGGGTGTACCTTTGTATAGTGTCCAAACACATCCCGTTTAACGCCCTGGGGGTAGCCGGTGAAGCGGACACATTTCTGCACGTAAAGATGGGCCGTTTCAGGTTTGGGTTCAGCGGTATGGAGGGTATCTACACCCATCCAGATCTACAGATCTACAGAACGAGATTTGGCCTGAACATCGCTACCTGAAGCGAACTTCGGGAGCTATACCACGGATACATGCTGCGCACGCTTCTACCCAGGGTATTTACATGAGCATGCCGCCAACAAAAAGCCACAGACACCGCCCCACATATTTGCCAATGTCTGGCCCGGCCGCCATTGCTCTTCTTGCAGAAGAGCGAACTGTCTCCCAAAAGGCCGTAGACACCGTTGGTCATGGCCCTCACCTCCAATCCGCGAACTTCGGGGAATGGCTTGAGCCAAAGCGACGTGGGATGTGAAGGCTTTTGTTTTGAGTGGGAACCAGCGGGTGACGTGTCAAATTGTCAGACATGGGAAGATTCGGGGCTGAAGCTCGGAGACACAATGAATGGATACCCGACAATATCACCAGAACCTGATCGGACATGGACTTCCCAAAGCCGATACCCACTGTGGATGGACAAAGTCCTGCAGTTGGCAGGTGCTTGGTCTATCCCGGCATGGCGTGTCTTCCAACTGCGAAGCGGAGCAAAGCGGATACCTTTGGACCACCTAAGGCGGCACTACATTTGGTTGGGGGCAGAGGGTCTATTGGATCCAACGCGTGGGAACAGTTTTGGCAACCTGACATGAAGCGATGCCAACATGGCCTCCTTACCAACATGAAGCTGAATCAAATTGGCGAAGAACGGTGATGTCTGAATCGCTTGGAAAAGGGACACATAAGGATTCCTGTTGGATCACGGGATAACTAAGGTAGCTTGAAGCACGTGATGAGATTCTGCATGCCGGCTTGCTCCAAGCCTCCTCTGAGCAGAAGGTCGTTACAGCTTTTGGAGGTTTCATAGAAACCTCGTGTGTTTACGGGGTGATTTGGTCACAAAGACCAGCCATGCGATTGATTCAAACTTTCCCTACCCCCTGGCCTGGAAGGCATCGTTGGTTACTCATTGGATGCCTCGAATACTTTTGCATCGCTTGGTTGCTAGGAAAGGGCAGGGGGAGTAGTTCAATGGGATCTCAGAGGAGCCATGGAAATCTCTTTCGCCAGCTGGTGGATATTGTCGTCACTTCGGCTGCGATGTGATTTGCCCATTCATTCAACCCGGTTTCCCTGGGAGCGTGGCGTAGAGGGGAGCGGACACTCGCCAAGGGACAGGTCTGGCCTCAAGTCGCAAGGGCCATCTGAGTTATCCAACCCTGGGAAAGGAGCGATGGCCAACAACCACAGTGAAAATCAATGGGTGCAGATTTATTTCGCCGTTTTTTCTTCTCGTGTTTCTCTCGTTTTTTTTTGTCTTGGCCCTATTTTTTACCGCATTTTCTCGCGCAATCGTATTTTACGGCAGCGGCGGCTTTGGGCTCTTGGCGCTTTGCGCATGAGAACATGCTCTGAACGGCCATCCCTCAATTGAGCGCCCGAGAAGCCATTGACTTTTGGTTCTAGTCACTTGAGCTGCTTTCTTTTCCGATCGTCCGTTTGACTTCTGGAAGGTGCCCCACAAAAATCGGAGGCCAAGTCAATCCGCAGGCCAGGTCTCCGGTTGCCACGGGGCCTCATTCCAAGCGGGGGCCCTTCGGCATGGGTCCCAATCTACCTATTGGGATTGCGGCATGGAGGGGCCTAAGAGTCTGGGTTAATCGACCTCTTGGTCCCCATAAAAATGAGCCGCTCTCGCTCTCTCTCTCTCTCTCTCTCTCCCTCCCTCCCTCCCTCCCTCCCTCCCTCCCTCCCTCCCTCCCTCCCTCCCTCCCTCCCTCCCTCCCTCCCTCCCTCTCTCCCGAAAATGGGACGCCCCCCTAATTATTCATTGGGGCCGAAATTCTCATTGGGCCCGAAACCCTCCAAAAAACCATGGGACAGCAAGTAAACCAACCACACAACCACGACATTGCAGCGGGAGAACCCCCTTTCCCTTTCCGCAAAATGGGAAACCCCACACATCGCCCATGCAAGGATAAGGGAGACCAGCAAGCCCAGCTTTTGGGCCCCGGCCCGAAATGGCCCACGCTCCGTGTCCTCTCCTGGCCGAAACGCCCCGAGGCTTGGAGCCTTGGGCCGGGTGAAAGTAGATGGCACTTCCTCGAAGGGGGTCAAATAAAAGAGATGACGTATGGGAGATACGAACAGAACAATTGGACAGTCTTTTCAGGCATTGCTGCCACATTCTCAGCCATGCTGACCATGGTCATCAGGTGCTTGCTGCGGGCAGCGCCCAGCTTTGTGAGGTCACACCACAAGCGCTTTGTCGACATGATCCTCAAAAGTGCTTTGCTTCCGGGCATGGCTGTCCTGAACATACTGCAGAGGCGATTGCACACACGGAAGTCAGTCTTACTAGCCTTCCATACAAAGGGGAATCTTCAGCGGCTTCCAGGGAGTCCCTCATTCTGGAAGGGATAACCAGCCCTGGAAAGATCTGTGTCCAATCCCACTTTCACTCGGGCTTTGCTTTTCATTCCCAGCCCAATGATCTATTCTGTGCGAACATGCAGAAGACTGGCCTCACTACTTTCCCATCATTCAAGTCACCCTGCAAGAGGTGAAACAAGGGGCTGACTTTGACAACCCCCAGAAACACGCACAAAACATGCCCCCCCTTTTTGGTCCAAACAAAAATGCTTCCAATGCAGATCCAAAACCCTCCAACCGACAGAGAGGGTCCATGATGCAGTAACATTGCGTTGCAACCCTTCTCCCACTTCCCCTTGCCCTCTCAGTCGCCCTCTTCGCACCTTCCACTGATCGACTGCGCCGGGTACATTGGGCGGCCTTGCGATCAAATAGACTCACCTCCTGGATTTCCTTGTTAAGGGCAAACTCTTCGAAGGACCAAGAAGATGCACCCCATGTTTTTGTTGGTTTGATACCCCCTGAAAGGGCACCCTCATGAATTTCTAACCCATGCAGTTAGCATGTGAGGAACCAGCTTGGCTTTCATGACCACTGGCCCACTGGTTCCCTCTTTGCCCGGGTTCAGCCTGTTCCTTAGTCACCCAAAAAAGATAAATACATTCTGACAGACACGCCAAATGCCCTAAGGGCTGCTGGCCACTTTTTGCAGCACGGCTCCTGGCACAAACTTGTGGAGTCTCAAGTAGATTTTGGCACCAACGCCCGGACCAGACAAGAGACACAAAGAGCAAGACGTCCATTTGCTTATATAAGTCCGCTGCAAAAAACACAACATATTTCCAGTAGTGATAGATTCCCTAAAAAAACAACAAGGGAACTGTTGAACATACACATCTATTCTTAAAGCAAATGGAAGAAGAAGTCACCCACCCCACATTCCAACAACCCAACCCACAAACAAATCCAGCAGACGTCCGCCGGTGTCTCGCCGGATGGCCTGCAGGCGGGGGGTGTAGACGGTGGCCGGCACGGGCTTGGCTTTGAAGGCTGGAACCTTCACCTGGTGGTCTGGTTTGGATTTCTTTTCCACCTCTTCCCAGTTTCTGACAATCCGGGGCTGGGATTGTTTTTTGAAACGTCCCCAAAAGATTTGGGGCCTCCGCAAGAGTCTGGCCTCCAAAAATGAGAAGCCCGCAAAAAGGGATTCGGGTTGCCCCTAGGTTCTTCCTTCAAACAGGGATCCTTACATTATACACCTGAAGATTGCCTTGTAAATGGTGGTTTCCCTTTATTTTGGTGTTGAACAAGCAACATGTTTCAAATGGTTGCAACATGAATTTCTTTTAAGGAGCCCTGTTCAAACCTGTTCAAACCCGAAAGGAAGCCAGGCCTCCTCCTCATCCCGCAGCACGCCCCGGCGGTGCAGCGCTTCCCGCTGCTCCCGGATGCGCTCCCCCTGACCTTGCGACAAATCGGGGCACTTCCAGCTGGTCTGGCAGAAGAGAAAAAACACAACAAGAAAAACTGAGAAAAAAACGGAACATGGGTGCGCTTTTTTCACCGGAGTTCTGAGTTCAGAAGAACCGCGAAGACACGCTTGGCCAACGGTTTTCCACTGTGAGGCCCGCGTTCTGAATGGCAGCTTTGGATCCGTTAGTCTCCTGACGCGGGTTCGCATGGCAATGACCTGGGGCTGTTTGTTGGCAAACAAAAAAAACATCACCTGGAAGAAAAAGCCACTTCCATCCTGTTCTGGTCCTCTTCTTGAAGTTCAAACCAGCATTTGCCATTTGGTAGCCCGCCAAGGTTTCTCGCTTCACACGGTCGAGTCCCCTGATCTTTCGGTAGCACACTGCAGATTAGCCTAAAATTTCAAGGAAGGATTCCCCAAAAGGAGATTCCTCGGAGTTTACTCTGCAGATTAAGCATGGAACCCAGCTCCACTCGAGCAACCTCCGTGAGGGGTTCCATGTGGTCAGTGCCGGAAGCCTTGGGTAGGCTTTGGCACCCCAAAAGGAGCTAGGGACATGGATCTGGAGCTCGTCTTGGCCAGATCAGGAGATAGGTAAGTTGTTTTTCCAACCAGGTATACGTTTTCAAGGGAAAAAAACAAGGTGAAAGCGTCCAGCCTGTTGCATGGAGCCTAGTCTGCTGCTCTTTTGGACTCAGCACCTGGCGCTGCTCCCAGTAGGAGTCCTTCATGAGGAAGCGAGGGCCTCAAGCGCATCGCGCGAGATAGGGCTGGCTGATGAGCAAATCTCCTGTTTCCATGCCAAGAGACCCCCAAAAAGTTGGACACTGACAGGAACTGAATTCGGCTTGGTATAAGGCTCCCCTGCCATACACCCCAAAACCAGTCGTACTTTAGAAATATTACATATCCGGGTAAGTCACCCCAAGATCAGATTTTTTGTTCAATTTTGTTATTTTGGAAATCCAAAATATCTGGTGGCTTTGGGCAAGTGAGTTCATTGCCACTCTCTCTCAGCCTAGGGTCCCAAGCCCTCAGGCGCCGTAGGATGGTTCAGGCCTCGCGCGTGCGCGCGGTAACACCGGAGCTTTTGGCTGGTTGC